GTTGGGGATGGAAGGGAATTGAGCACACAAAAACCTAGGGAAGTGGCAGCAACTTTAACAGATTAGGAGAGTAGGGTACCCAGCCACACCTGAGCAATGTGCATAAAACTGGTGGTCCATGGCATGTAACCAGCTTAATTTAATCATTCAATATTTTCAAATTCTTTACATAATGTGTACTATGTAACAATAATACACCCACATTTGGCTGGGCACTCCAAGTTGGGATTGTAACAAGTAATAAAATCCCCATGCTCATGTGTCAGTTGTGGCCCACCGGGCCACAACTAACACATTGAGCACAAGTACAAGATTACCGGTGGTCCTTCACCAGTTAACCAACTTTAATCATAAATTTTTTTGAAGTTCTCTGCATAATTTGTAACATGATGAACAGTTGCATGAGGGCACCCCCTCTTCCACATATTAATTTATGTAGTACTGTACATCAAAGTTTTCAAAACTAAAATGTGTCCAATGCCCAGGTGTGGCTGGGCACCCCCAGCTTGTGAGGAAATAAAATTCGTATTCTTCAAGCGAACAATCAAAATAACCGTGGGATGCGTAAATTACAGTCAACCCCCGTCTAACGGACTTGATTCGTGCAAGGGACGAGTCTGTTGGACAAAAAGTCGTTTACACAAATTCAATTACATAAAAAATGAAAAATTTCAATTTTCAACACTAATTTTAAACCAAAAGAAGTCTGTTTGGCGGATTTTGTCTGTTGGGCGGGAGGAAAAACTGCTTGCAGAGCTGGTCTGTTTGGCGAAAATCCCTTACACGGGAGGTCTGTTAGGCGGTGGGCCACTGTATATCTAGCTAATGTTCCCAAGAAGTAAATTATTTCGTCTTTTTTTTTTTCAAATTGGAGACCTCTCGCCAAAAGTTGAATCTTATTGTTTGCAGGCTATCGAAAACAGAATTAATTGGCGGGAGAATTTATGAGTTTTTAATAATTTTGACAGATGGCTTTTTAACGGGGTTTCCTATTTTATTATCAGAAGGGACGTTCTTTTTTTCCAAAATGAATTTGTAGGTGCCAAGGGTGGGGTCTTTTTAACGGGGTTTGACTGTATCAAAGATTTCAATTGTTGAAGTAAATGAAATTGAAGTCACTCATGAATCGTGAGACTCCAGCGAAAGATTGATTTTTTTCTTTTTTTTTCCAGATACGGGTTCCAGACACACCTGAAAACGGCCCACAACTTGAGTGTTCAGATCAAGAAAATCAAAGCCTATATGCAGATCCCTGATGGTGGGAAGAATAAATTCCCCGTGACAATGAACTCTTTTAAAAACGAAGTCGAAGAGGCAGAAACCTTTGATTTACCGAACCAACCAACGTTCATATTCGTGTAAAATATTGCATGGATTCAAAGGATGTGATGGGATTGCATTTTTCGTTGGACTTCGATTCCCCGCCCCTCCTTTTTTTGTGTTCATCGATCATGTCTTTGAGGTGTGTTGAGAAAATTAGTTGCCCGCTGATTTTTGATTTCAAAATTACTCATTATTTTGATGCTAACAAAATTGAATTGAGTCACGCAGGTTTAAAAAATTTGTTTTTTAATTATAACTCAATTTTTGAAACTTCTTGTTCATGCGGATGCATTTATAGTTGAAATGCTTGTCAATGTTTTTTTTTTTCTACATTTTTGCAAGTGCAAATGAAGGAGGATTTTTTAGCGTGCATTTTGTTCACGTGTCTGAGAAACGTACTTGTCCCCTTCTAACCCACTATTCAAAAATGAGATCATTCCAAGTACGTTTTCTTTTGCGAATTTTCCGAAAGTGTGACTGATTTGTCTTGCCAAGGAAACAGCGGTATCAATTTTTGGCGGACAAAGTTGAATTTTTTTGTTGCTCATGTGTGTGTTAGTGATACATGCCAGAACGTGTATTTACGGAATTGTGAAAGATTTTTCTGAAACTTTTGTTATTGTCTGAAATCTGGTGGGTTTTGCTCGTAAAAAGCCCTGAGATATTGTTGATAATTCTGGATAAATTCAATCAATTTCAGGATGGTATTGAAAAAATACTTGGCATTATTTTAAAAAATGTTCTTCTTAATTATGCAAAAAAAAGTTAATTTTATGAGACTTTCTTTTTTTTTTTGGCTTATACAAATTTGGAGAAGTCTTCCTCACGTACTTAAGCACTCTAAGAACTTGATTTCAAAATGCCTGTAAAACGTCTGAAATATTTTATGTATTTTTTGGTGTCAGGTTTTAATTAGAAGGAAATTTACCTCATGAATCCAAAAATTTGAAAAATAGCTTCTTTTTTTAATAATTAGTTATAAAATCTGATCATTTTCCCAGGTCTCCTTGATGAGTTAAGCTGACCCATGTCAAACTTCATGCTACAGTATTACCATTGTTTCAAAATTCATCATCTTGAGGAAATGCATTAGAAACTTTTATTTCAATTTTCAAGGAGATTTTCTCATAGAAAAGAAAATTGATTGATTTGGGGCTTTTTCGGAGTGAATTCCCTGCACAATTTTTGCATCATCATCAGAGTAATTAAAATCTGTAATAATTCCTTGTGTTGATTCGTTTTAGAAGGAAAATGCCGCGGGCAAAGCAGCATCAGCAGACCCACGAATGCGTGCTTTGTTTGGAACACGTCAAACTGGTTTCCCCACAAGTGCCAAATTTGATGCGGAATTTGCGGAGTTTTGAGAATCCCAAGGAGTTTTTTGTGCTTCACCAAATCGCGACAGAACCGAGTGTGAGTGTCGATAGTGCGGATCTGTGTGCGAGTTGTTTCACTATTGTGGAAGCCTGTGATGATTTGATGCACGATTTCAACGAAATGGTGAAATTGTGCAAAAATTTGCGCACTGAGAAGCTGAAGAAGGAGCGTTTGCCGGAGTTGAGTGAAGATGCTATTGCGTCTTTGCTTGGGAACACTTGTGATGATGATGATGATGATAATGGCATTCCTGATCTCTATAAAAATGTGAGTCAACGGTTTTGATTTCTGATTTACTTTATTTTTTTCTTTCAGTTCCTTCCTTGATGAACAGAATAATTCATGCGGACATGATTGGTGCATCAAGAGTGTCCCTAAGTCAAAATGTCCCCAAGTCGAGTCTCATTTTCCATGAGACTTACATTATATAATTTTTAATTGGTGTTTTATGTAAAAAAAAAAAAATGCTCACCATGATCCCATGAAAATAAAAATTGTCTCCCAATTTAAACTGATTCAATCAAAATATTTCAACACAATATGGAAATTTGGGGAATTGAATACTGATAATGCCTCTGTACAGTACATAGAAATGTTGGCATTCTCTGTAAAAATAACATTCAAGTGAAAAGAGAGAAAGAAAGTCCCTCTATCCTGGAGGTCATTTTTTTAAAATTAGCTAAATGGATGGTAAATTGGTGAGAGAAATGCCCAAGAACTTTTCTTGCATCAATTTTGGGGTTGGGAATATGTGTTTCTTATGATCTGGCCTGAAACTTATTTGCAATTTCATCACAAAATGTCCCTATGTCAAATCAGTGTCCTCATGTTGGGCTCTTTTAATTAATTTTTTCAAGGGAAAATAAGTGTTCCTATGCAGAATTGTCCGCATGTCGAGGTGTCCTCATGTGGGGGTCTCACTGTATATATATATATATATATATATATTGCCAATAAGTTTCTGGAAAAGTGACTTTTATCAAATTATCAGGCTGAATTGTAAGAAACAAATCTTTCCAACCCTAAGACTAAGATCTGTAAAAAATAGAGATCTATAAAAATAATTGCCTCGAATTTTCTTCATTTCAGACGTTAGTTCAAGCACAAGAAATCAGCGAGAAGAAATCAGCTACGGTAGAAGAAGCCCAATCGAGTCATTCTCGTTCCACCGGACGAATACGAAAACCCCCTCGGAAATATTCTGAAGGAGAATACGAAGTGTCTTTTGTACTCAAAGGATCCCCGTCACCCAAGAAACCCAGGGTTGTCGCCGCGAGTTGTCGGAATGACATTCTCGGGGATCGTATCCCCGTTGAAAACCCCAAAGAACCCTCGTTGTTCATCCAAGGAGACGCGGATCGAGGCAGTATTTTGAACGACGTTGCGGGAAAGGAGAATGTGAGTGAAGATAAGTCGCTGAATGGAGAATGTGATGGGATGGAGGAACCAAAGCAGAAGAAGAGGAAACGGCGAGGGATCGCGTTGGAAACGTCTGAGATCTTTGAGAGGATCATGATGCAACAGCCGAGGATCCGTACGAAAAGGAGGACCAGGGATCGGGCGAATCCGAACAGAAAGGACTTTGTTGACTTCACGGATGTTGCTGTAAATTTTATTTTTCTCTTCTTTTGCGAAATACTGCGATTCAATTCTAGGGGTTATTATTGATCTTACGGAATTGAGATACAGTACACTGTATTTGCATATTTATTTAATTAGTATCCTCTTTATTTTATTTGTTTCGGTAAGTTTGCGAAAATTATTCCCCCTTTTTTTTGCGGATGAAAATTTAGACCAAGGTTACAGTGTAAGTCCCGAGATGCGGACGTAATTATTTTTCAGATTTTATCCGTATTTTGGAACGTCTGCATGTTGAATCACATTTTCCCGTGAACTTCGATGGGAATATTTTACTGTTCCTGCTTTGCAAAAAATTCATGAAGCATTTGACAGAGTGAATAAAAAATTGTTCCTAACGTCGAGATGCAGAAAGTGGTTGCAGAAAAAAATCACGCAGAATCTGCCCATTTGGCATAAAGAAGGAGTCCAAAAATTAATCTGCCCATTTTGCTATTCTGTGCAAAGTTGATGGAAGAAAGCCTGAAAAGAGAAATGCAAAATTAGCATAGAAATTCAAAATTATTTTGGATTATGAATTAGGGTAAATTTATGATAATATATATATTTCTAACTTTTGTCTATAGAAAAGTCTTAATAGGTTCAAGAGGTATCAAAGTACAGTATTTTAGAGAGAAATTGATATTTTCCTGGAAATGTTGGCGAAGTGTCCGGATCTCAGGACACTTCCGAGATTTTGAGGCTAATTTATTGAGTTTAAAGTGTCTGTAAGTCGAATCATTCGCATATTGGGGGTCACGCACTGCAGTATTTTTTCTCGTTCCTTTTTTCAAATTTCTCTGCGAAACAACTCTTATTTACTTTGTCTCATTATTTTTCCCAACAGAAAACAATCGCACAAGAATCAACGAAACTGGATCAAACGAGTGAATCTTCTCCAATTCCCGCTCCAGGCGTTGTTGCGAAAAAACTTTTGGCGGAAGTCCTGCGAGCCAACAAATACCACAAAATCCCGGCCAAAACTGAATCCCTGCGAATAACCGATTTCAAGTCTGAGCCCGTAACCCACGAGATGTCGCCTCAAGTGGATCCCGAGCTTCAGGTGATGAAGGAGCTCGAAGTCATTGACAAACTCCTGAAGCAGGAAAACGATCCCGAAAACTCACAATTTCGAATCATCACACAAGAGGAAGAAGAAGAAGAAGAAGGAAATGCGATTGGTGAAGAATACCGCAAAGGGTCAAGCTGGTGGAGACCTGACGAAGAACGCAAGAAACAGAGCGAAGCCGTCGTGAGACGGAAAGAAGGCGCCAAGTTGTGGTCGAAGGATGATGCTTCGTGTCACGACCCGAGACCGATAGCAGTGACACCTATTGACGGACGGTACAGGTTCTTGGTGGACGGCTTTGTGTTTCACTGTACGCGGAAATGCGTGTATAATCAGGCGTTGATGTATGTTCACTGTAATCACCGGAGAGTCAGAGGTGTGGAGTGTCCAGTGAACGGGGTGGTGAACTTGATGGAGCAGGTCTTTTACTATGATCCCATGTTCAAGGCTGTTAATCACAATCATGTGGATCATGCAGTTCCGAAAAATACGCAGTTGCTTCCCATGGATGAATTTGTGAGTACTTTCGCTGAAACTGAACAAAGTTGTCTTCCAAAATCCAAGTTTTTCATTGTTGAAAGCATTTTTTTTTTTAGAATTGTTGCTACCATTAAAAAAATGTTTCGTCCAAAATCAAGGTCAGATTCAATTATTAATTCCATCTTATGTTTTAGAAGAAAATTGTCACTGATATTCTTGGTTTTCCTTTCAAAAAATATTGTATAAAATTTTTAAAAATAGCGATTATTCTAATTGATACTGCAGTGGAGAAAAATCGCCAAAAAATACTTTGCTGTGATGAATCTTGAAAATGAAAACGTCACTTATGTGTTATGCTGTCAAACCTTTCGAATCAAACTGAATTGGCGAAAAAATTTGGCTTGGAGAGTCTTGATTTAGGGGGTCCACCTTATTTGCTGGGGTGAAGAATTACAAAAGTTCAGTCTGATGATTTCTTGCTTCCCATGGATGAATTTGTGAGAACTGTTGCTAAAATTAAATAAATTTGTCCTCCAAAATCAAACTCAGATTAACGAATCGATTTCATCATATTTTTTTAAAAGAAATTTAGAAATTTTCACTAATGTTGGTTTTTCTTTTTTTTTACTGAAAAAAACCTCTTCAAGTTCAAGTTCTTGAGTTTGGGAAACTACCATTTTTGCTGGCTAAAAGAATTGAAGAATAACGTAAAACTTAAATTGATCCTCTGGGCTTTAAACTGTTCAGTATGTGAGTTCAAGGGATGCTGAAATTGGAGTTGAGGGTTAATTTGCCCAATTAGTCACTTATTGAAAAGTATCAAGTTACATTTTTATTGCCTTTCTCTTTTGAGGGTACCCAGAATCATTGCCAAATGGTGTCGAGATACTGCCGTTTTGAGGGTGAATTTTGGAGGTTTAAAATGCAATACATTGCTCTTTAATGCAATTCAGACACAGGTCTTGTCAACATTTTCAATTGTGGAAATTTCAGTTATTGAGATCCAACTGTAAACATTTAAATAGCACAACTTCTTTGGTGCTCCTGTTGAGATCTTTAAAAATGCTTGATGCTGAAAAATTTGTTCTAAAAGAATTTCACTTGTATTGTAATATACTCCACACAGTACGTCATTTCTGATTATAATGAACCACAACCCTGAAAGTTATTTATTAAAAAATTCCCTGATGACTTCTCCATTTTTTCTGTCAAGTTCTTTGAAAAATGTGTCCTAGCAGAATTTCACTAGTATTGTATTGTACTGTACAGGTGTACAGTATTATTTTAATTCTGATCATAATGAACCACAACCCTGAAAGTTATTTGTTCAAGAATTCCCTGATAAGATCTCCGTTTTTCTCTCTCTCTCTCTCTCTCTCTCTCTCTCTCTCTCTCTCTCTCTCTCTCTCTCTCTCTCTCTCTCTCTCTCTCTCTCTCTCTCTCTCTCTCTCTCTCTCTTGTTGGTTTCCAGCGGATGTCTGCTCAGAGGCTGTCCGCTCAAAGGCAATCCGTTGGCAAGCTTTTCCCGCGACGATATGCTCACTTTCTCAAATTGCCGGGATGCGAATTGTGTTCCTATGCGAATAAGCCGTATCTGCTCCTGAAGCATTACAAGACGGAACACGTCATGGCGGGCTCGAAAGATTGCTTTGACTGCGGGCGGCCATTTTTGGATGAGCTGGAATACACGGCCCACATGGAGCTTCACCTTTTGGAGAACATTGATCGTGTTTCGTGCATCACTTGCCGGATACCGCAGCTCAAATACAGTTTGGGTGGGAGTCCTTTCTTTGATGTCTCGGAGCTTTAAAATATAAGAAAATACTGTACTGTTTAACGCCTTTTAAGGGGACAACACAAATAAAAATTTGGCCAAGTGAGGTTTTCAATTTGGAGAACTTTAATGTACCGTAATTACTTGAGTACCACGCAGTCACTGTAATTTTTTGGTGACTGAAAAACTGCAATTTTTCAAAAATAAGAGACATCAGAATTCGAATTTGAACATTAATCTGAATTCAATCTTTTTTTTTAATGATTTTTAAGAAGTTAGTTAGGCTATAATTTGAAATGCTCTTGTTTGCATGAGAAAGTGTTTTATGTTTTATTTATTTGAATGCGTGATTCATCTATTGATTAATATTAGTATGCAGTAGTAATTATTTGGTATTTGTTTATTCATAATATACTATCAGTTTGTTCATTGTTAATATTTGTTTATTCAATGCTGCATTAGTTAATTCATTCTTTGGTATTAGTTTGTTCATCATTTAATATTAATTTATTCATTTTTAGTGTCACTTTATTCATTAATCAATATTAATGCTTGAATTTTTGTATATTTAGTTTATTCTTCGTGATTGGTATTATGGATTTGTTAATTCAATTTACCCATTTATTGATTTTTGTTTATTCATATAGTATAGCTCATTCATTTATTTATAATTTATTTCAGTTTATTGGTGATACATATCTGTTCATTTTCGATGTACTGTATTTTAATTGAAAATTTTGCAGGTTTGCATATTAAACGGGCGCATCAAGGACGGATTCTTTTCACTGATGCAGAGCGAGAAGCAGCAGGTCTCCGGGTGAGTAAGCATCACGTCAGCGAATTTTTTGCAGGACTCCTGCGTGAATAACAGTTTTGCCGTTTGTTTTAATTCATTTTTATTTTTTACGTGTAGATTTACAGATGTGCAGTGTGTCCGTACAAGGTGACGAATTTCGTGAGATTTCAGTTCCACGTGAACCAAGCTCATTTCGGGGAAAAGGCGTACAAGTGCGAAAATTGTCCCGAGGTCTTTGTGACTGAGACTCAGAGGAGGAATCATACTCACGAGATGCATGAAATCACGCACGAGTTCAAGTGTGGCACTTGTTCTCTGAGGTTCCCAACACCAGCTGCGTGAGTGTCGTGTCGATAGGTTCCTGAGTGATGGCAGCAGTCTGAGAGTTTCCAATCAGCTCATATTGTATGACCAAAAATTTGAGTTACGATAAGCTATTGTTTCGACAAAGTCGTGGTAAAAATGTGTGCCTTGATGAATGAAAAAAAAAAAAAAAAACATTGTTAGTGGGTCCCTGTCAAACAAAACTAACTTGTTTCCATGGGAGTTTTATTATTATGAAATTGTTGGCAGGATAAGGAAATGCTTTTACGCTGAAACAAAAGTTTGCGCGAGTCTATCTTCCTCTGGTAGAAATTTTGTCATGCAAAATTAAATATTATAAAATTATTTTTTTCTCCAAGGACCGTCAGAATGAAGTTATTGTTATGTACTGTAGTGAGATTCTATTGTATCTTTGATGGAAATTTATTCATCGGAATATCTTTTTTTTTTCATCAAAAAATGAGAGGGAAAAAAACAAGGTGAAAAGCACAGTTGCATAAAAATGTTCAAGGGAAATTTTTGAAAATTGGAAACTTTTCTACCCTCTTGAAAATGTTCTTGTGTACTTATGTATTTTCATTAATCTATTACAGAGATTTTACAAAACAAAAAATGTAACCATTGATTTTAATTTTCAAGTGAGCTTGAGTTTAGATTTTTACACACCTTTACTATTCAAGTACATTACAATAGAAATTTTGGTTTGAGGAATCCTAGGCATTCATTTGTCTCTAGTTTGTGTCATATTTGGAACCATATTTGCCAATTGACATAAGCATTCTGTATCACAAATCTGAAAGATGTCTTGTGAATAAATATTTTTTGAGGCATCTGATACTGGGTTTATTCCCCACAAAAATTCCCTGATAAAATTTTTTTTTTTTTTAGGCTTCAGAAACATCGGATCATTCATAATCCGAATTTAGGGCACAAGTTATGCCCCGAGTGTGGCTTGGAGATGAAGTCCTTCTGCAAGTACAAGCTCCACATGTACCGGGTCCATGGCCAAGCAGTGAGTTTTTCCCCCGTGCATGATGCTCAAATTTCAAAATAAATTTTGTTTTGAATGCCAAAAAGCGAAAATTTCAAATTTTTTCGGAAAATCCAATTGCTTTATGTTTGGCTGTTCTTCTCCAGCCTTTATTTCATGCTAAATTACTTGAATATTGAATTTAATGATCACTGAAATGTGTTTGCAATTTTAACACAAAATGTCCCTATGTTGAGTCAGTATCCTCATGTCGGGCCATTTTTAGTTATTTTTTCTGGGAAAATAAGTGTCCCTATTTCGAATTGTCCGCAGGTCGAGGCGTCCGCATGTGGGGGTCTCACCGTATATTTTATTCAATTCCAGATCTACAGCACCTGCAAGGACTGCGGAGAAAAGTTCCCGCTGTACTCGCAGTGCCGGAAACACATGATCGAAGTGCACGGTGCCCAGTACCCCGTGGCGTCCCGGAAGCGGAATCCCCGCAATTGCCCCGACTGCGGCAAGTCCTTTGTGTGCAACACCAGCTTCCACAACCATCGCGTCAAAGTGCACAACCAGACGACTCGGACGGACGGCACTTTTGTCTGCAATTATTGCGGAGAAGTCTTTGCCCTGTGGATGTTGTTGAGGGTGCATTGGCGTCGGGCGCACGGGTGGGTGCGGAAGGAGCAGGCGGACGTTGGGATCCAGTGCAACCGGTGCGGGGACGTGGCCAAGGAGAAGTATGGCTTCCAGCGACATCTGTTGGAGAAGCACCAGTTGAAGGTGGCTGTGAAGAAGCTGTCGCCGCACATGCTGTTGCCCGAGAGGGCGGTGGTGGGTGCCGGTGGCAGGCGGGAGGGGCAAGAGGAGGTGGTGCTGGTGGCGGCGGCGGCGGCGGAGGAGCTGAAGCAAATAAAGGTGGAAGAGTCTGTGGATGATGAGATTCTGGGGGAGGAGGAGGAAGAGGAAGAAGAGCAGCAGCAGCAATCTGAAATAGGCGCCAGCACTTCGAGCTTTCTTCTTTTCTAGTGTTTTTTTGTATTTAATTTTTGTTTTCTGCACGTGGAAAAATAATGTTTTGGCTTCGCTTTCCGAAGGAAGGTATTTAAAAGGAGAACATAATCTTTTTACATTAAGAAAAAATTAATTAGCAATATGTTTAAAATTAGCAAATCCTGCGAATATTGAATTTGGAACGTTTTCTTTTAATTGAAAAAATATCTCCCTCCACCCTATGGTAACTCAGAAACAGACCTATAAGGAAAAATCAACATACATTTGCAATTTTTTTTTCAATTTATTGTGAAATCTTGAGATTTTCCAATCCTGCATTTAAAAAATAAATATCTCCCAAATGATGAAAAAAATTCGAAATTTGTAACATTAGCAAATCACTTGAAATATTGAATATTGAAATCAAAACGTTATCTTGCATTTTAAAAATCTTCTCCACCCTGGTGTGTGAAAAACAAATTTATGAGGAAAATGTATTGTGAAATCTTGAGATTTTCCAATCATACATTTGAAAATAAATATCTCCCAAATGATTAAAAAAAATCGAAATTTGTAACATTAGCAAATCACTTGAATATTGAAATCATAAAGTTATCTTGCATTTTAAAAATCTCCCTCCACCCTGGTGTTGGAAAAACAAATATATGAGGACAATCATTTTTTTTTAATTTTATAGTTGAATCTTGTGATTTTTAATTTCTGCGTTTTTTTAAAAATCAACTTTTTGACTTTGCTTTCTGAAGGAAGAAATTTGAAAGGAAAACATAGTTCTTTTAAATGATGGGAAAATTCGCAATGTTTAAATTTAGGATACAACTTGAATGTTGAAATCAGGTCGTCATCATGATTCAACAAAAATAGAAGTTATCATGATTTACATTCTGATGAAATTTTCTCCTCTTCCAAAAAAATGCAAAACGTTATTAGCATCAACTTTCATGTTCGTTATGTTTGTGCAATGGTGAAAATGTGTGGTTTTTTTTTACTTTTGAAGAAGTTGAGAGAATTTTCCTTGAAGCATTTGTGTTGGTTTTTTTCAAGTCCTTTCTTACACTGGAAATTATATTTACCTTACTTGAACTGCTGTTGAAAGTGTTTCTGTGCAATTTCCAGTTGTGTTTTGTGCTTAAAAACCATGGATTCGGACGCTCCCGTGTCGGCTCCTGATCACAAGAAGGGTGATAATGCTCCATGGTGAGTAAGATTTTAGTTTTTGCAAGTTTTAGTGTTTCAAAATCGACGTAATTTTTCCCTCAGGATTGAAAAGTATCGGCCGCAAAAATTCCATGAGATTGTGGGCAACGAAGCAACTGTTAGTCGCCTGGAGGTGTTTGCAAAAAATGGAAACATGCCTAATATCATTCTTGCTGTGAGTTATTCATCAAATATTGTTTTTCTTCTAAGGAATATCATTTATTCTGAAATTTTTTAAAGGAAATGCTGTATGAAAATGTCAAGTGTATTAATAATTTATGCTACTGTTTTGAATGAATAATATTTTGAATGACTAAGGCTGATTTTTCAGTATTGTATGACAATATTTTGAAAAACTTTTAATATGCTACCAAAAATATGTTCCACCCTGAAATTAAATTTTGTACTGTATTATTATTACTGTGTGAGTGTACTGTATTTAATTCCTTTACAAGGCATCAGAAATGTTAATTGGTCAGCTTTTTCTAAACTATGTGGAACAGTTTTCCCCAACCAATGGTCCACAGCTCTGCGCTGGTGTTCACATTTTTTGCTGGTCTGTGGGAAATTTTCTTCAGCATAATAAATTTATCAAAAGTAGCAATGGTGTCTGTTAATGTCATCTGAAATTTGGGAAAGGCAATGGCAGTTGAAATTATGTGATGAAAAGTAAAAGTTGGCTTTTCTCTTGAGAACACTTCATACAAATGTTCACCTACTTGAATAAATTATTTCAATTGTTCATCCAGAGAAACTTTTCTAGAAGCCTACATTTATAATTTTTTGAAAAAATTCCCCTGTAGCTGCTTCATTGTTTCTTGCCTTAATTTTTGCAAATGAGCAGAAACTTTTCAAATACCTGCCATGAAGTCTTCCAAACAAAATTTTTTTCGTTGGCATAACTTATATGAAACTTTGCTGGTCTGCAGAACAGTTTCTGGTGTGCAAAATACATTTCTGGAAATTTGCCAGTCCACTGCAGGCCCAAGAAGGTTGGGGAACACTGATCTAAAGTATGTTGCTACTCTTTGATTTGGGAAAGGAATCAGAATTTTTCTCTGCTGACTTGAAATTCAGATTTTTGTTTGTTTGGAAATGAAATTTGTTTCCTTTTCTTTTCTGTGTTAGGGTCCACCGGGAGTTGGTAAGACCACCACGATCTTGTGCCTCGCCAGACACCTGTTGGGGCCGAGTTTCAAAGAAGCTGTCTTAGAACTGAACGCGTCCAACGATCGAGGCATTGACGTCGTCAGGACCAAGATTAAAATGTTTGCCCAGCAAAAGGTTTCTTTGCCTAAGAATCGCCACAAGATCATCATTCTTGACGAAGCTGACAGGTTAGAATTATTTTTACTACCGTTCATCCCCTTAAAATACTGTGTCCCATAAGATAAGTGGCGAGCGAAATTTCTTGAAAGATTTCGCAGCATGAAAAGAAGATTGATTCATATTTTTGTTTGTGGAGTAAAATTGTACAGTAAAATATCTTTACGATGAAACTATTGAAACCAACTAAGTAGCTTCATTTTAAAGAAAAATTCTGTATGAAGAAATTCATGCAATATTTGGCTATTGGACAGGGTCCTAATAACGAATTTTTTGTGATCAAATATTATTTCGAACAATTTATTTCAACTTCTATAATCAACCTTTGTATCTTTTACGAGAAACTAAAGATATTGTAAAAGAACTGTATCTGCTATAGATGGGAAATTTGACCAAATTGTATATTGAAAGGCTATGAAACCAGCTCAACAAATTCATTTGACTGAACTAACACAATAAAAACTTTCTTTCAGCAAATAAATATGGATCTGAAGAAACTCCACTTATCATTATTTTTTTATTTTGTAATTCAGGTAAGATTGTGGATATGGGGCAGGAATTAAAAAAAATTTATTGTTACCAGATTCTACTGCAGCCTTAAACTTTCTCTTACAGTTCAATCTTATGTCTGCAAATGGCAGAAGGGAAAAAATTACTCATCACTGAAGTCAAATACATTTATTGAGCTGGTTTCAAAGCTTCCATAGCCTTGCTGAAGAGAATTTACTTGAAGTGAAGTATATTTAATTTTTGTTGAAGATATGGAATAAAGGTTGATGTTTTGATTTGGAATTACTTAATTTATTATTTACATGTAATGCATATTGATGCAAGTATCTTCTTGGAGACCAAAAGTATTTTGTGTTTGTATTTTATTGTTTGTTACGTATTCATAGTTTGGTGTATTTATAGCTTTTTTGTGTTTTGAGCATTATTATAACTCGTCCTATGGGAAAAATTTCAGATTTCCATAATTTAATTTCTCATACGCTCAATTATTATTTTTTTTGAGTATTTTGAAGATTATCAAGTAAACAAGCACGTGATTGATTATTTCCCGCGTGTATTTAGCATGACAGAAGGTGCTCAGCAAGCGTTGAGGAGAACCATGGAGGTCTACAGCAAAACCACGCGATTCGCTTTGGCCTGCAACACCAGTGAGAAAATCATAGAGCCTATTCAGTCTCGTTGCGCAGTCATCAGGTACTTCAAGCTGTCTGACGCTCAGTTGCTCTCGAAAATCCTCGACGTTTGCGAACACGAGAAGGTACAGCATTTGAATACCGAATTTCAAAATATCCCATTTATCCCATCATTGTTTTGTGTTGTAAAACCGATGATTTTATTCTTCTCGTGTCTGCTGCAGGTTAGCTACACGAATGACGGGATGGAGGCCATCATTTTCACTGCTCAGGGAGATATGAGACAAGCCCTGAACAACCTGCAGTCCACTTTCCACGGGTTTGGGCACGTGAATGCCGAGAATGTCTTCAAAATATGCGACGAACCGCATCCGAAATTGGTCCGTGATATGCTCAAAAGCTGCGTTGACGGAGATATCGACGCAGCGTACAAGGTAGAAGAGAGACATTATGGAATTTCATTTCAATCATAGAGGTTGATTTATTATTGCGTAGGTCAGATGAGAAATACTGTGAGAAATAAGAGAGAAAAAATTAAAATGTGAAATTAAATTTAATGTGATTACGAATAGTGAACGTGTAAGATTTCCTGGTTCCGGTCGTTGTCCATCAGCTTCTGCGAGTGGAAGAGATTGCATTATAGTAATTATTCAGTATTGCATTATAGTAATTATTAACTCGATGGCATAATTAATATTTATCCAGTATCGATATTATTTTGGATTTGGTCCCCTCAACTACCACTGACCATCCGCCCAGTAAAAAAATCTCATTCACTGCTGTGGTAGCAGGAAAACTTTTCATGGGTGGGTGAGCTAACTTTTTTGCATGAAAAAAATATCATGCAATATATAATGTAAACGAAGTAGATTCATTAAAGTAGATTTTTCATTAAAACAATTGCAAACGAAGTACATGTTCACATTCAAGCTTCTTCATTTCTGGAAAATCGAAGTTATTTTTTTCCCCCTACAGGTTTGTTCGAGTTGGGGTTGGTGGATTTGCAATTTACAGTTATACAGTTTTTTCGGTGTTGAATTTTTGGCTGCTTTTGTTTGTTTGTTGCTTTTTAGACCGGAGTTGGAGTTCAGTATTCAGTATTGCCTTTCAATTTGATGAAGGATGGAAGAGAGGAAAATAATACGACGAAAACATATTTGTACCTTGTATAATCATTCAGAATATACCAATGATGAAATTGAATTAATTACTAATTTATTATTTATTACTTATCATGGTTTGGCACTGAATTAAACATTTCATTTTACACTTCATAAAATGGGTAAGCAACTAAAAAACTTTTTCCACCCACCCAAAAAAAAACCCCCCATTCACGGACAGTTTCATTGACGAGAGGGACACACACAAACAATCGATCGTGAATGATTTCACATCATTTCAGCCGCCAATGAATGGGGGGTCATTTTTTGGGTGCGTGAATCCTCCCATTCACAGACAGAGTCATTGGCGAGAGGGTCACTCCAATGCTGCCGCCAATGAATGGGAGAAGTAGGGCGGGGAAGGGTTTCATGTCTACCCTTGTTTTGGGAAAAGTCTTTCGGCGGGGTAGGGTTTCTTGTCTACCCTCGTAGGGTTTCTTGTACCCTCGTTTGGGGGGAAGGGTTAGGGTTTCTTGTCTACCCTCGTTCGGTCAAATTGGTTGCTGCGCTGATTCCGATAATCAGCGACCTGATCCGGAATCGGTAGGAATAAGTGTATAAGCGACCAGATCAGGGGCGCTGTGCGTGGGAACCCAAATCCGACATCTTGATGCACCTGAATCAGAATATACAATAATTTCACTTTCTCGAGCGTGTTACAGGGAGACACAATCAAATTAATTTTCCCTTTTTATTTATGGAAATAATTATGGATTTACATTATTTAATACAGTATCATTTTTCGATCGTATTTGAATATCCGTTTTATCAACTTTTCCAACTGTTGCAGGTGATGAATGGCCTGTGGAAGATGGGATACGCACCGGAAGACATAATATCCAACGTTTTCCGTGTGTGTAAGACTGCGGAGATGCCGGAAATGCTCAAGCTGGATTTCATCAAGGAAATCAGCGTGACTCAGCTACGGATTGTGAAAGGCGTCCAGTCCTTGTTGCAGTTGTCGGCACTTCTGGCCAGGCTGTGCCAGATAAGTTCTACCTGAAAAGAAATGAATCAAATGAATTTTCACGTTTTTAAAATGGCTCCGTTTTCGAAATAAAAATGAATCTGCTTCTCATGATCCAGTGCGGTTTCAAATTAATCTAATATCTGCATGCAGTTCACATGTTTAAATACTGTATAGGCATACTTCGATTGTGAATTATTATACTACGGTACATACATGCTATCAAAAAGGATTAGAATAAACTTCCTGATCAAAGGAATTTAATATAAATCTTTCCAACATTAAACTCCGTTCTGAGTTAAGATTCTACAGATTCTGCACATATCAGGGTTCGAATGCAATGCATGGTTAATTGGTTATTGACATGAATGATAATAAGACTGAGTAGCCTTGATCTGAAGGGAAAAAACACATGTTCAACTTCACCCACCGCTGGACACCATGTGATTCACCATAACCAGCTGCAGTGCATAGAAGCTCAATCAATTTATGCACACTCCAACCGACAATGGCACCTGTGAAGATTTATAAAAACATCTTACATGAGCACAACATCTTCATAATTGGTTAATTAATTCAATTTTTAAATTGCAAGAGTCGAATTTAAAAACTGCTAATACGAGGGTTCTAACAAAAGTTCTTGGAATGAAAATGGTGTCTAAAAGAGCTGAAGAAAATGTATTCTTTAGGGCAAACATATTCTTTGAACAAGTGGCCGCCACTTTTGAGCTGAAAAAAAAGTGACCGACACTTAGGCGGCTGTTGATTAAAATGGCAGAATTGCCTTGGAAGACCTGGAGGCAATTAACCCTTGGAATTACTGCCACATTGATTTCAAGAATTCTGAGGGGAAAGCTGGGCTGCAAAAAAAAATGCAGGAAGGGTGCCTCATCTGTTGAGTGGATAGCAAAACTCTGTCAAGGTGTATTTTGCAAAACATTAAAAAAAATTGTTGAAAAGGGCTGATTTTTTTGTGCCAAACAATATGTATCATAACCCTAAAGAATAAATTTTTTCAGATATTTTAGACGCCATTTTCATTCCGAGAACTTTTGTTAGAACCCTCATATTCTTATTCCCTCCAGCAGCTTACCAGGAACTAACAGCAGGAAGTGGAACTAACAAATAATGGCTACAATATTGTTGGAAACTGAAGATAATATCAGTATACCATTCATACACACAGTACATATGTCATTTAATTATTTTTTTTTATCAACTGCACAGTAATGTTTCATCATATATCTCTCAGCAGTACACAGTACATGTAACCTGTATCATAACAACAAAGGAATTTCAGCATATCCCCCCTACTTTTCTGCTTTAATACAATGTGTAAAATAAAATCGTGAACTCTATTATTAACCCAACATATATATCGAAGAGGGAGGGAGACACTCGCTACAACCTTGAGCCAATCACCCAGCTAAATACATACGTATGTAAAGTCGTCAACGGTTCCCTCGACGGTCGTATTTGGAAGACACTGGGGACGCGACGATGTATGACATGACATGTATGTAAGTGGGTCGGTTTAGTTACGAGTTACAATAATAGCTGCTGCTGGTCAACTTCCCCATCATACACATGTATATATATGAAAAACTGCATGAGCAGCAGTGTTAGTAGCATAACCATGGACGCGGAAAGCAGCAGTGCAACAGCACCCCTGATCATGGAGAATACCACTGTTTCCAGGCGACGTCATCCTTTGCGACGTCGGAGATCCAGCATCAGCAACAGCAGTGATGGGGCCAAATTAATTGTCAAAGAAGTAGAACCAGCAAATATAATAAAACACCAAAGGAAAAAGGCTAGTAGTGCTGCCTATTATGCACCGGGTCCAGAATACGACGAGGAATTGCCTTACGGGGGTTTAGTTTATTTGGCATTGTCAAAGAAGTAGAACCAGCAAATATAATAAAACACCAAAGGAAAAAGGCTAGTAGTGCTGCCTATTATGCACCGGGTCCAGAATACGACGAGGAATTGCCTTACGGGGGTTTAGTTTATTTGGCTCGGAAGAAAAAGCCTGACGGGGCATTCTGCATCGCACTGCAGGTCAGTTCTTCAACTGTATTATTCAATGTAAAGTACATAAATAGTACTAGTAACTCTTCTATGTGCAGTGAAATTCTGAAAAAAATCTCATTACAAAGAAATGTTCATTACAATGAATTTATTCTTTGAAAATTAATTATTATTAATTATTTTCTTTAAAAATTAATTATTATTTATCTTTTCTTTAAAAATTAATTATCAATTATTTTCTTTAAAAATTAATTATCAATTATTTTCTTTAAAAATTAATTATTATTAATTCTTTTCTTTAAAAATTAATTATCAATTATTTTCTTTAAAAATTAATTATTATTACAGTAGTAATTATTTTCTTTAAAAATCAACATGTTGGTCACCCAGCAGTTAATTTTGCTCATACTCTAAATAACCTCAGTATAACAAATGTTTGCCTTGATTATATGAGCATGGGCCACAGGAAATTTTTACCAAGTGACACAATATGAAAAAACAGAACATGTGCAAAATTGAAAAAAATAAACCTTTGAAAATGTCTAGTGCTAAACTTCTTGTGCAGAAAATTTAATATGAGCATGGGCCACAGAAAATTTTTACCAAGTGACACAATATGGGAAAACCAAACTTGTGCAAAATTGGAAAAATAAACCTTTGAAAATGGCTAGTGCTAAACTTCTGGTGCAGAAAATTTAGCATTGCAAGAATTGTGAAGCTCTATAAGAATAGACATTCAGCCAGCTTAAATTTAGATGTTGGAAATTATAAGTTATAAACCATGGCAATTCTCCCCATATCATCTCTTGGGGAAGTATTTTTACCAGTTTCCATTATTAAAATTTCTGCCCTATTTCATACATTATACATGCTAAGCAAACCATAAATCTCAACAACCTTTTCTCAGGTTTCTGGGAGTTCTTTGTATTGAGATTATGCTGTATAATCCAGTTCCAAATAACTTTACTTGATGTTATGTAAAATTGATGTGTTCCAAAATTCAAGTAGTGTGTACTGTAATGTTTAGTTTACAGTTGAAACTCTTATAAGTTGAATTCTCATAAAGGGACCATATACAAAAACTCAATTCAGGGATATTTTGATTTAAGGAAGCAGGTTCAAGTTATCAAGGTTCAACTGTGCTGTGTTATTATTCAGAAAATGGTTTACAATATTTATAGTTGAGAGCCCTAATGTGTGTATTTGAATATAATTCATCTCAATTATTCAGCAGCAAACTTAGGTAAAAACAAATTCCTGCACAAGACAGCCCTCATATTCAGTGGAAAATGCACCCTTCAAAAATCACAGCAGCTCAATTCATCAATTGTTTCTCTTATGATTCTCTAATATTCAATTTGCCTCTGTAATAAAATGTATATGCAATGTGATCAAAGGATGATGTGCAAAGAAATTTTGAGAATTTCTTGGAAATATAATTGTATGGACAGTCCATTAGCAGTTAAGAACACATATAATAGGATTTCAAATCCATTCAGCATTTTCCCTTTGCAGGAGATTTTATCAGGCTTTTATCCCATATTCAGCCAAGGAAAATGTAATGAATGCATAATAAACAATCTGAATCAAATTTACTTCCATCAACCAGCAAATAATGGACCCAAAATATTTTTTTGGCAGAATAAACTTTGATTGCCACTATAATTGTTGCTCTGAATAGTATTATACAAATGGACCCCTAATTTGGGTGATTTTACATGAAAAGTTATGAACCTTGGAAAAAAAAAGTTGAGGCAGGAGAGAAATTTTGCTGACAGCACATTTTTTTAAATTCTTGCATCAAGTATTTTTCAATCTTGATTTTGGGTATGCGTGGCAGATACATAATATTATTGATTTGTACCATTCTTCAATTCATCCACTCAAGAATTCAAGTGGAAGATTTCCTAACTTTTTTGTGAGAGGTCCTCAGACCCCACCACAAAGATTTGGTTTATAGTGAAATAAACTGTAATAGCACAATCAGGGCTGAGGGTTCCAAACTCCCCAACTTCTGTTTATAGATCCAAGTTTCCAAGTCCACAAAATATTCCAATCAAAGCAAGTCACACACAAAGATCGGTTTCTTCTCTCCAAAGTTCAGAGCAGGATTGATTGATTATTCTGTTGGTTTCTCATGGGTCCAGGTCCTCCCCAGTGGAAAGCTTCTCCAAGGTTTTCACTGGGGTGTGACTAATTTTCTGTTTGCAAATTTCTCAATAACTCTTTTCATCAAGCAATGATTCACTTGATGGAAGGTTTTTCCTGAAGATCAATATCTAATATTCTTTGAACAAGTGGCCGCCACTTTTGAGCTGAAAAAAAAGTGACCGACACTTAGGCGGCTGTTGATTAAAATGGCAGAATTGCCTTGGAAGACCTGGAGGCAATTAACCCTTGGAATTACTGAGCCACATTGATTTCAAGAATTCTGAGGGGAAAGCTGGGCTGAAAAAAAAAAAAATGCAGGAAGGGTGCCTCATCTGTTGAGTGGATAGCAAAACTCTGCCAGGGTGTATTTTGCAAACATTAAAAATATTGTTGAAAAGGGCTGATTTTTTTGTGCCAAAGAATATGTTTCATAACCCTAAAGAATAAATTTTTTCAGCTATTTTAGACGCCATTTTCATTCTGAGAACTTTTGTTAGAACCCTCATATTCTTATTCCCTCCAGCAGCTTACCAGGAACTAACAGCAGGAAGTGGAACTAACAAATAATGGCTACAATATTGATGGAAACTGAAGATAATATCAGTATACCATTCATACACACAGTACATATGTCATTTAATTATTTTTTTATCAACTGCACAGTAATGTTTCATCATATATCTCTCAGCAGTACACAGTACATGTAACCTGTATCATAACAACAAAGGAATTTCAGCATATCCCCCCTACTTTTCTGCTTTAATAAAATGTGTAAAATAAAATCGTGAACTCTATTATTAACCCAACATATATAACGAAGAGGGAGGGGGACACTCGCTACAACCTTGAGCCAA